GGAGGGTACCAGGTAAGCAGCCTGCTCACAACAGCACAGGTAACTGAAGCTTTAGATTTTTGAGACCAGCATTTAACATCAGACATAAATGAGCCTGTAACAGTAAACAGTCGTCACAGCAAACAAATAAGGACACAGAATTTTGTGTAGACAGAAGGCAAGGATGTCAGTGAGTCCGGATACAAACTCACTGTGCTTTTAATGCCCTTTACGCTCTGCTTTTGAACTGTGCATGACTTGACATCACAGTAATGTAGCTAGTGGTCGCTGCTAACTGCATTACTTCTTCCTAGTGATTTTCCTGCCCAACCTGGAACAAACATGATAAAAAAGTCTGCTCATGTCTGTTTCAAACACTCCTATCAGAAGCCTAACCACTAATTGGTTAATTAATTTATCAAGGCTCTGTACTACTTGACATTCAGTCTGAAACCAGTGATGCCACCAAGGTGTAGCAGAATGTTTCCTTCCAGGTAGTTAGGATCATGGTCACTTCCCAGGGTTCCACTGTTACCCTACCCCCATCCACTAGAGGGCGCTATGAATTCACTAGGGGTGGCAGGTCCTGCTGCAGTCCATTTGTGTTCTAACCAGGATGCTTCTGGTCTTCAGAACCTGCTCAGACATTTCAGATGCTCCACACACAAAGGGAAGAAAACTACCAAGAGAAAAAGATTCGTGGGATATCAGACAAGAGACTGCAGTAGGAAGCCAATGTTGGCTTTTAAAAATCCTCAGCCCTGAGCCTTTTGTTGTTGTTAGTTGCCATCGAGTTGGTGCCGACTCATAGTGACTTTATGTACAGCAGAATGAAAACACAGCCCGATCGTGGGCCAACCTCACTACTGTTGCCACGCTTAAGCCCATTGATGTTGCCACTTGGCCAATCTACCTCTCTGGGGGTCTTCCTCTTTTTCTTTGACCCTCCACCTTACCAAACATGATATCCTTCTCCAGGGACTGGTCACTCCTGACAATATGTCTGAAGTATGAAAGATGAAGTTTGGACATCTAGCCCTCCAAGGAGCACTCTGGCTGCACTTCTTCCAACATAGTTCTGTTGGTCTTCAATATTCTCTTCCAACACTGTAACTCAAAAGCATTCTTCTACGGTCTTCCTTATTTACTGTCCAACTTTCACATGCTAATGAGGTTATTGACAATACCATGGCTTGGGTCAGGCAGGCACACCTTAGTCCTCAAGCTGACATCTTTACTCTTCAACACTTTAAAAAGGTTTTGTGTAGATTTTCCTAATGCAATACGTGGTTTATTTCTTGACTGCTGCTTCCATGAGTGTTGATAGTTGATCCAAAAACAATGAAGTCCTTGACAACTTCAATCTTTTCTCTGTTGATAAGAATGTTGCTTATTGGTCCAGTGGTGAGGATTTTTGTTTTCTTTACATTGAGATGCAATCCATATCGAAGGCTGTACTCTTTGATCTTCATCCTTAGTTGTCACCAATATATTCTACCTGATGGGATATTAACTTTTAGCCCAGGTTACGGAGTAAAACTAATGGATCTGTTTTCATTAGCTAGCAGTCATGTGATGACTTAGGAAACATTTTATAGTTTTAAAATGCCTTTTCTGTTTAAAATGTGAAATGGTGAAAAGGTGCTTATAAGCAGCTGTTTTGCACAGAGGAAAGCTGTGTTTCTTGTGTTTTGTTTTCTAACTTGAGAAAATGTGTATGTAGGTAGCATGGCAAGACTAGAAATCCATCTTCCTGTTTTGAGTACTCTGAGGCTGTGCTCTGTTATTGGTGCATCCTAAAAGCCCACAATCACACTTGTGGAACAGAGCAGGAAGTCACTGAGAATCAAAATTAGGGATTCAAACAACAGACTGTGCTATGTACCTGTTGTTAGGTGCCATCGAGTCGGAACCGACTCATAGCGACCCCATGCACAGCAGAACGAAACAATGTCCGATCCTGGGCCAACCTCACTACCGCTGCCACACTTGAGTCCATCAATGATGCCACCTGGCTGATCCATCTCGTTGGGGGTCTTCCTCTTTTTCTCTGACCCTCCACCTTACCCAGCATGACATCCTTCTCCAGGGACAGGTACAAACTGTGTGCGCACATGAAATCTGTGTGAAGAAATGATCACTCCTTTCACTACCCAAAACCCTAATGTCTGCTGTCCTTTGTTAAGAGTTTCCCCCAATCCCTCCTAAACAGCAGAAGGAGAAACCAGATGAGTAAGGACATTAAGTCCACAGGGCATGGGGCTTAAATCAAAACAAAACAAAAGAAACACACAAATGCTCTTGCCACTGGGGTTTACCAGCCTGGGCAGAATCTGGATGTCTTCTTGTTCTTTTCAACCCATTCCCCTCTCTGTTAAGAAACAAGACAGGGCAAATGCTTATAGTATTTGGAGAAATAACAGCATAGGCAAATTGTGTGGGAAATAACAAAAAGGAATCAAATAAGAGAACAAGAGCTGGCTTTTCATTGTTAACACAAATACAGCCACTGTTGGAGTACAGAGGCAAATATGTCATAGCTCTGCCAGAAAAACTGATTAGCCTATAAGCTAAGTGAGGCGAAATAAGTAAATATCCATGAACAGTTCATGGCTGGTTGACTATATGTTTAATTGTTCTGGTGTCAGATTTCTCCTGGAAAAGTCTAGCATAGATTACTTGTTACTTTCCAAATACATGCCAGTCCATTCTTCCCAGTAGCCAGCTTACTGCCATCTTGGTGATCCCAAACTCTCCATTAGTCAAGACAGGTTTAGGTAGTCTGGGTGACCAAGAGTTGTAGAAATAATACACTGCCAATCACATTCACTACTTGATTCTCTACCCTTGTATCCTTGGACTGCCAAAAATAGTCCCTCTATAAAGCTCTTCTGTGCACATCAAACAGGTGAATTAAACTGTGCTTGGTAAATAAAAAAGAAAAATTATTTTAAGTAGTTAGGCAGCTGTGCCTGCCATTCCTGAAGTAAGCTCAAGGGGGAGACATTACTTCAGTCTTGGCCCAGGCCCCTCAGAATTATGAACGACCCACTGTTCTTAGCGTAATTTTAGTCTAGAAAGATCTGTAAAATTTGTTCACTTCATTTGATGCTAGCCAAAAACAGGACCAACAACAAAGAACAAAACCAAAATACAACAAAACCAGTTTTGTTTCATTACTGAAAGTTGACTGACTCTAATGAGGTTCCCTGAGAAAACGTACTCACTATATTATGGGTCATTGAAAGGATTTTTTTTTTTTTTTTCTAGAGTAAATTTTGCAATATTCTTAGCTCACCTCACATTCTAACTTAGCTATACCCCCTATATAAGATGCAATTTTGCTGTACCACCAGCAAACATTCTTTCAATGAGACATTGTTCTTTCCTTATCCTTTCTACACCAGATCTCTGCTAATCTTCAGAGGACAATTGGTCTGTCAAGGAATACATTTGCTGGAAGAAGACCGGGGATATGCTGACAAATGTTTACAGAAACAAATTGGGAGGGGGAAAACAAAGCTCTGCTTTGTAGAACTGGTCAATTTCCATGGTGTAAATATTCCTACCATCGCTAATTTCAAGCTACCAACTGTGCACAATAGGCTCTTGCTGGCTGATGCAAGCTGAAGCCAGTGCATCACTAGAGGTCCTCCTAAATCTGTGTGACTTCCAGTCTGGTAGTAGTCATTTCTTCCTGATGAAATCCTTGTTCCTGTTTAATCGGGCTGGAGGACTTTATGAAATTTTCTAGTGTTATATGAAGAGCTTTACTCAATCCTATGTCCATCTTCTCATATGTCACAGTGTAATTAGAAAAACTAGGGAAAAATAAATCTACATGAAAATATTTATTTTAAAGTAAAAAGGGCTATTTAGAATTATGGAATGTTAGCACTAAAAAGTCAGCATAAAGCTCATCTAATGTAACCTCATGTTTGATGAATTCATTGAAGTGGAGAAACTGAGTAAGTAACTTGTTTAAGGTCAAGCATGAATTAGTAGTAACACTGAGCCCAGACCTAGGACTCTTCACTGTTACCAGGCTGCCTCCTTAGAAAGACGTTCATTCACATTTTCTATGTCGTAAGGTGTGGTGAGAACTACTGTCAAGTTTTGCTGACACAGATAAGCAAAAGTTCCTGACTTGATGGAACCAAGAAGCATCCCACGAAGAAGAAGATGCCATGTTCTTCACAGGTTGTTCTCTCCATCCTCTTCTTGTGGGTCTTTGATTTGGTCCAAGGCTACATTTGCTTGTCTTTGAATAGAGTCCCTCTTTACTCTTAAAAGGAGAAAGAAAGAAAGAAAAACAAATAGAGATAATAAATAGTTGTGAAGCGATAGCATCAAGTGTAATAATGTAAAAAGAGTTAGGAGGTAAGGTAATCTTATAAATGTCATTGATTTAAGTACTTAAGTCCACATTAGGTGCTGGGCACAAGGTTGGCAACAGCCACTCCATGGGAGAAAGATGAGGCTGTCTGCTCCCATAAAGATTTATGGACTTAGAAGCCCTATATAGGGTTATTATAAACAACAATCAACTTGATCGCAGTGGATTTGGTTTTGGTGGGTTTTCAGTCCCAATTAGAACCCCAAGTGGTATAGTGGTTAAGCATTGGGCTGAAACTAAAAGATCAGTGGCTCAAACACACCAAAGGCTCTGTGGGAGAAAGATGGGGCAGTTTGCTTCTGTGAAGATTTACAGCCTTGGAAGCCTCATGGGCTGTTCTACTATAGAACCGCTTTGAGTCTGAATCAACGAGATGGTAGTGGGTTTGAGTCCCAATTTCCTTTCCCCTTCTCATAAGCAGAAATGTGATGATAGCTAATTTACATATTACAATTTTAAAAGCCTTTACAAGGAAAACAAAAAGTTTCTGAATTTTTTTCAAAATTTTTAAGACGAGTGTGCAACACTTTTGTAGTTAGAAACAATAAGACATGTTTTAAAAATACCAAGGTGTGGCAAATAAAAACACTGTGATTTGCTGGTTTGCTGCTCTTCCCAAAGCTACTTACTTTTCTCTGTTGAAAATGATGAACTCCTTCTGGACATTTTCAAGGTGCTCTTGAAGAAGACATGTTGTCTATGAGAAAATCGAAGAGAGAAAATTAGAGGTGTAGTTAGCCAACCAATGAGGATCTGCCAACAGCCACTGGTCTGTTGTGCCTGTTGACTGAATGGCCCAAACCCAAGGAATATCAAGATTACCTCAAGGGGAAGAGAATCACCAAAAATTGGGGACAGGAGACAGGAGTGAGACCTCAACCAGAGTACAGGGAAGGGAAGTAAGGCAGACATCCCTGGCAGGAGGAGAAAGCTTGTCAACACTCCACTCCTCACAAGGAAAACCTGGTGCATGATTTATGAGCTGTATGGTCCATGAGGAGTCCTGGTGTGATAAAGCACTGGACAGAAAGGTCAGTTTGAATGAAAAGGTTGACAGTTCAAACTCACCAGCTGCTCCTCAGAAACCCTATAGAGGGTTGCTATGAATCAGAACCAACTCGATGGTATTTAACAACAACAACATGGTCCATGAAGCCCCTTTCTTTATGAAGAAAGCAGGTGGACAGGGGAAAGGGTTTATTGCTTGTTGTATCCTTTGGTCCTCATGTGGACCAAGGGGATGTTCTGCTTTGATTTCACGGATAGCTTTAGTTTGATCTAATGAATAGCCTAGAAACATCTCTCCTCACTAAATTCTGACTGATGGGTCTTCTCAACTCTGTTGGAGTTGATTAGGTATGCTTTGGTTCTAATGACCAGAACTTTCTTCAGTTGTGACTTTCTTTTTGTTATTATTGCTGTCACTTTGGCCTCTGACTCATGGCAGCCCCATACCAAACAGACCAAAATGTTGCCCAGTCCTGTGCCATGGCCATGATAGGCTGTAAATCAAGCCTCTGTGGTCCATACGGTTTTTACTGGATTATTTTCAGAAGGAGATTGCCAGACCTTTCTTCCTAGTCTGGAAGCTCCACTGAAAGCTGTTCAGCATCATATCACCACACAAGCTTCCACTGACAGATGAGTGGTGGCTGGTTGTGAGGTGCACTGACTGGGAATTGAACCTAGGTCTCCCACATGAGAGTGGGGAATGCTACCACTGAGCCACCTATGTCCACTCATGGCATTCTTACAGACATGTAACACATGTGCCCTGAGATTGCACTGTCATGCTTTTAGTACTTACTGATGACTTTTCTGTCATAATGAGAACGTTAAGCTCAAATAAATGACAATCATCAGACCCAGGAAAGTGCCAAGCCCAGAGCGAACGTCTTAAAAAGCTGCAACAAAATACTTCCAAATAATTCCAAATAAAAAAGTAGGACTCTAAGGAAAACAAAATCATTCATTTATTTTTTAAATCCTGGAATTAGAACACACAGAATCCTCGGGGATTGCACCTTTTCCCTCCTAGTAAAGGACTACTGGTGAACTTTCTTCCAGAGTGATTGCTTAGATGACAGGACAGGAAAGTATAAAAAGCTGAAAGCATTTCAGAAAAAGGGTGAGGAGATGAGACAAAGCAGAGTCTGGTGGTACACCGCACTCTGACTCTCAAACTGAGCTGTTCCCAGTATCAGTAATTGGGTACCGGAAGCTACAGGACAGGTATAATGTGTTAAAGCTCTGTGGACATCAACTGAAGGTTGCAGAGAAAACATTTTTTAATATTAGGGGAAACTGAGTTTCTGCTAAAGGTGACAGAAGAAATTTGGAAATGGTTATACAACATGATGAACCTACTGAATATTCCTGAATTGCATGCGCGAAGAACACTTAGATGACAAATGTTTCATTGCCTATATATTTACCACAGTTAAAAAAATTCTCAAAAGAATCAAGATTAGAATCCAGAAAAGTGCAAAAATCCACATGGATATTTCTTTTCTATTTTGTAATTCTGCTTTATTTTAATGAGGCTACAAAATGCATACGCAGTGATGAGGTGATGGCATGAAGTGTCAAATCATGCTCTTTCCACTCTGCGAACCCCACCCCTTGACTCTCAAAGGGCTCACATTAGACATGTTCTCTTCCTCTGCATTAGGCGAAATTTTGAAGAAGCGCTGCTACATGGATAAGTCAATAGCAACAGCAGCATGAGAGAAAATCTAAGGGAGAGGAGGGTAAAACAAAGACAACGGATGGACTAATGGATCTTATGTGACAGACGAGGGAAATGGGGGGTAAGAATCTCAGATCTTGCTTATTGGGGATGGGAAGAGCAGTCAGTGATTGCGCTGTTCTGACTGGAGTAGGCAAAAAATTCTGAAGGATTTCAAGCAGCTGGAAGTCCCAGGAGGCAGAAAAAGAAAGTAACTTGCCTGTTATCAGGCAGACAGACTGAGTGACATGTAAAACTTCTGATTCTATACTTTAAAGATTGCACAGAGGGACAAAGTAGAGATTACTCTGGCTGCAAAGACAGCAGAAACATCGATCATGTTCACAAACAAAAGCCATGGCAAAGGAAGAAGTCAGGAGCCTTGAAGTGGAGTGGAAAAGTAAAATGGGATAATAACAGCTAATACTTTTGCCAATTATTTTCCATAAATGGGTTTAAACCTTTCTTGATTTTGTAGATGAGGAAACTGCCACAGAAAGAGAAAAAGGCAAAATGTTAGTATTTTTACACTGTTTAGTGGTGAATCTCTACCTTCACTGCACATTTTAAATCTCCAAGAGAACCTTTTAAAGTCCTGGTGACTCCAGGTCACACCTCCAGATTCAAACTTCATTGGTCTCCAGGAGTACCCAACCACCAGCATTTTAAAGCAATTCTCTAGATGGCTCAAATATGATGACAAGATTATGAATTTATGGAGAAGAAATCCCAGAGATCATATGGTAATCATATGATAATGAATGTGAAACCACAGTAAAATCCACAGATCAACACCAGTTGCTGAAACTAATTGCCATCAGGGTTGATTCTGACCCACAGCCATCACTTGTGTGTCAGAGTAGAACTGTGTTCCACAGTTTTCAAGAACTCATTTTCCAGGAGGAGATCTGCAAGACTTTCTTTCAGGTCACACCATGTGGACTCAAAACTTCCAGCCTTCGGTTAGCACTTGAGTGAGTTCATCGTTTATGCTTCCCCAGTGATTCCACAAGCTCACACAATTACCATTTAATATGTGCCAGACACTGTGCTAAATGTTTTATGTGCAGTATCATGTTTTATACTCACAACAATCTTGGAATGTCCTATCAGTCCTATTTTACAAATAAAGGAACGCATGTGGAGAGAGGTTATACAATTTAAAGTTCAAATCATTAAATTTAAAAAAATCACACAGCTATTTCATAAGTGCTATACTACACTGAGGACTTTTGGTGCGGTGTTGTAGGATCAGCACTGGACTATAAACCACAAGGTCGGCTGTTCAATCCCACCAGCAGCAACTTAGAAACTCTATACAGGGTCACTGTGAATCAGACCAGACTTGACAGCACTTAAAACAAACATACTGAAAGGAGCCCTGGTAGAATAAACATTTGACTTCTAACCACAAGGTTGACAGTTCAATCCCACTAACCACTGGGAACTCTATACAGGGTCATATGATTTGGAACTGACTCGACAACACTTAACAACAAATAGTAGCAACATACTACACTGAAGGAGATTTGGCAGCACAATGGTCAAGCACTGAGCAGCTGACCAAAAGGTTGTGGTTTGAATCCACCTAGCGCTCTGCAGGAGAAAGAACCGTCAATCTGTTTTCATATAGATTACAGCCAAGAAAATCCTATGTGGCAGTTGTACTTTGTTGCACAGGACTGCTGTGAATCAAAATTGACTGGATGGCACTGAATAACAATACATAAGACACTGCCTTGGTCCTGTAAGGACAGGATGGGTTTACAAGAGATCGCAGCTTTCAGTGGGGAAAAGGGAGTGTACTCTTCAATTCAACAAATTTTAAATAATCTTTTATAGAGGATTGGTTATATTTTGCACTGTGCTAAAAGAATTAACAGTACTATTCATTCAACAGGAGTCCTGGTGTGGCGCTATGGGTTAATGCACCAGACTGTAAAGCTGTTTGAACTGCAAGATCGGTGGTTCAAGCTCACCAGTCACTCCTTGGAAACCCTATACAGGGTCACTATGGGTTGGAACCAATTCAATGGCATTTAACAACAACAAAAACAACAACAACTTTCATTCAACATGTAGAAACTGTCATCATGGATCATCATAGGTCCAATAATCCATTTGCTAACAAGCCACTTCTACCCTTTTTGTATCCCTATTAAGAGTATAACTTTTTAAGGCTGCTTCTTTCAGTCAGCACTCACTAATGAAATTCTGGCTCTTATCCTTGAAATACCCTTCTAACTGTGGGTGAAAGATTTCTAGATGACAAGATGAAAAAGAAATGCTCCCCTTTTCTGACAACTACAGAGAATAGAATATAATGGTTGGCACCATTTCAAAAAGAAAAAGAAAAAGCTTCTTGCAAATGATTCTACTGAAGTGTCTCATAAGGCTTCTGGAGTTCAAAGATGGTTGACCCATGTAAATAAATCCTAGTCTCTAACAAGTCCTGAGTCCTGGTGTAGTGCTGTAGAATAGGCACTGAATCGCAAGGTCGGTTTGAACTACAAGGTCAGAGGTTCAAACTCACCAGCGGTTCCTTGGAAACCCTGTATATGGTCGTTATGACTCAGAACTGACTCAATGACTTTTAACAACAACAGCAATCTAGGACACTGAGTGGATCGCTTACTTAATGATGTGGTGACTTAATAAAAGTATTTATATTTTCATCTCTTTCTCCAGTGGTGTAAATATCTATAAATCCTCTATTAATTCAGAAAGCCATCTGTGGCTTTGCTTTGGTCTCTTTGCCTACATGCAAGACTGAAATAAAGAAAGGAAGGGAAGGAGACAGGAGGAAAAACTTTGCTAGACTTCTTATTTGAAAAAAAAAAAATTGGGGAGAATTTGGGAGTGTTGTCTCATTTGAATTAATATTAATGAGCACCTACCATATATGAGGAGTCCTGGTGTGGCACTGTGGGCGAACGTGTCAGACTGTAAAGTCGTTTGAACTGCAAGGTTGGTGGTTCAAGCTCACCAGCTGCTCCTTGTAAACCCTATACAGGGTCACTATGGGTCGGAATCGACTCGATGGCACTTAACAACAATAACCATATATGTGGCCTTATAGGGTATATAGAAATGTATATATCATAATAACCCTCTTTGTAGAAATGGAAGTGTATAGAAATGCAAGTGGTTCTCACTAGCCAATCTTGATATAGTAGAATAAAGTAGGAGGACTCACATTTCTTGATTTTAAAACATAGTAAAGCTACAGTAAGTAATCAAAGCTGTATGGTACTAAAACCATTATGAACAACAATATGGCAATTCCTCAAAAAATTAGAAGTAGAATAGAACTACCACATAGGACAGCTATTCCACTCCTAGGTATGTATCCGAGAGACCTAAAAGTAATGACCTGAACAGACACGTACACCAATGTTCATTGCACATTATTTAAAGTAGCAAAAAGGTGAAAACAATCTAAGAGCTCATCAAAAGATGAATGGATAAACAGCATGGTACTTAAATACACAGGAATACTAACTACTCAGTGCTGAAAAAGAATGAATTTTGGATAATACATGCTATGTTGTTGTTGTTATCAGGTGCCATCGAGTCGGAACCGACTCATAGTGACCCCATGCACAGAAGAACGAAACAATGTCCAGTCCTGGGCCAACCTCACTACCGCTGCCACACTTGACGCCATCAATGATGCCACCTGGCCAATCTATATCATGGGAGTCTTCCTCTTTTTCTCTGACCCTCCATCTTACCAAGCATGATATCCTTCTCCAGTGATTGGTCCCTCCTGACAATATGTCCAAAGTAGGAGAGACAAAGTTTAGCCATCCTGGCCTCCAAGGAGCACTCTGGCTGCACTTCTTCCAAAACAGATCTATTGGTTCTTTTGGCAGTCCATGGCACTTTTAGTATTCTCCTCCAACACCATAACTCAGAGGCATCAATTCTTCTACAATCTTCCTTATTCACTGTCCAGCTTTCGCATCCATATGAGGCTATTGAAAACACCATGGCCTGGGTCAGGCGCACCTTAGTCCTCAAGGTGACATCTTTGCTTTCAACACTTTATAAAGGTCTTGTGCAGCAGAGTTGCCTAATGCAACACGTCATTTGATTTCTTGACTTCAAGATTACGAGATCAGAATTTCTCTGATGAATGTTGCAAAGAACTGTCAGACAGAACTAGATTTTGGTAAATGACTCTGGGATTGATGGGAGAACTGGAAGAAAGAGGAAATGGTTTCTTCTTTTTTTTTCTTCTTTCAGGTATTAAAAAATATTAATAGTTTTGTATGTTGGGTAAGTGAATTATAGTCTTTCCTTTAAGTGGAGTATGATTTGTGCCTGCAACTTGGTGGCTGGAAGGCTGGGATAAGAGAGGGTCACCGAAAGATGCCATGGATGGGATGTGACCTTTAAATTCTAAAAGCATCCATGGTTAATCTCTGCTATCCAGTTGGAAGGGTTTCTTTCTTTCTTTGAATGTATTCAACAAATAGACACTGAGCCTCTGTTCTGTTTCAGGCACTGTTAGAATACTGGGAAGATAATGGGGGGAGGGAAAGTAAGACTGAGCTGGTCTTCACCCTTAAGAAGCCTTCTTTTCAGAGGAGATAAACACAAAAAAACCAAACAGACACAAATAAAATAATGATAAATCATGGTAATGTCATAAAGAGTTAAAAATAGGGGCTGAGATCGAGGATGATGGGTTAGGAAACTCATCTTTGACAAAGTAACATTTAGAGTGTAAAGGACTTGTAAAAACACAAGGGAAGGATTTTCCAAAATAAAAGACAAGCAAGGACAAAAGTTCTAAATAAAGGCAAAACATACAGTGCTTAAGGGTCAGAAATAGGGACTGTGTGTTTTGAGGAGAAGAATATAAAAGTGGTATGGAAAAGGTAGACACATTATATAGAGTTTAATGTTGTTGTAGTTAAGTGCTGTGGAATTGGCTCAGACTCATAGCAACCCTGTATATGGTTTCCGAGGAGTGGGTGGTGAGCTTGAACCACTGATGTTGTGGCTCAAACAGACCTTGCAATGTAGCATATTAACCCATAGTGCTACATCAGGACTTCATAGAGCTTGATAAGCATAGCAAAAAGTTGCCCACAAACTACTCAGTTATTTCTAAACATTTAAAAAAATGCTAATAAGTATAAGTTTTTAGGTTTGGCTCTATTTTAGGACTTGTCAACTGAGGGGCCTGTATTCAGCTTGAACTGAGCTCTGCAGGGCTGGAAAAGTTAAAGTCTGAAGAAGTTAACTAATTATTATATGAAGAAATCAGTTGGTGGAAGATGGTTGAAGTGAAAAGCAATAAGCAATATGATTTGTGGCATAGCTAAGAATTCCTCTGAGAGCCCTAGAAAATATTTACAAATGGATAGCTAACAAGAGTCCATTCTGTGGTCAAACATGATAGAGATGTGGCCTTTGATTAATTGATCATTAAAAGATAGAGTGGTCCCATTGTTGTTGTTGTTATGTGCCGTGGAGTCGGTTCCAACTCATAGCGACCCCGTACAGGGTTTCCGAGGCTGTAAATTTTTTTTTTTTTTTTTTAGGACAGGAAAAGTTACAAACATTGAGAATACTTATTCGTTTGAAGAGTTATCTTCACCACAAGACAACACGATTTTTGAGAACAGGGATATCTCTGAGTACAGGTATTATATCTCATTGATTTCAATCTCCTCCTGTGTTTAGAACATGATATGGCAGATAATAGGTACACAATAAAAGTACACTTAATGAATGGACAAATGTTGGGATGGATGAAGGATTGAAAGAATAAATGGATGGAGAAATGGTTGAGTGGATAGATGAATGACCATTAGAGGCAAAGTGTATTATTTCACCATCATTATAATATAGAATGATATGTGAATATATCTTCTTACTGTGTCCCTCTAAAATACTCTGCTTAAATCTGAGCTCTAACTCTGATAAAATATTATACTGAATTAAAATTTAACTCAGCCTGAAACCTAGCAATCGTGCTCAGCTATGCAAGAACCCTCGCTTTTCTGTGAATAGACATGCCTTCCTTCTACTAGCCTTGATATCACAACTTTTGCTTGTGGTAAATAAAAGACACACCTCTAGGGTTGGCTGTTCCTAGGAACATCTGAAAGCAGTAAAAGGACCCATAATATCCAGGTGTGACCTTAAAAACATTGTCCTTTGCAGTGATGTGGGGAGATGGAGTGGCTAGAGACTATGGACCTGGAGAGAGAGAGGGGCAGTATACGGATGACAGACAGGGGGGCAGGCTTGCGGGGTATACCCTTTGGTTGATCAGTGATGAATGGAAGGGATTGTATCCATGGCAAGGAAACAATATATGATGAGCTCAATGTGAAGCTGATGTCCTCCCATGTAAACTATCACATAATTCACAATAAAGCATTAAAAAACAAAACAAAATCCACTGTCCTTTGGCCATAATTTTAGGTTACCTCAGCTAGTCATGGCCATTTAAAGTCTTTCTCCCAGGAAATTTGTGAATTTTGGATTGAGAACTGAGAGAAGGCAATGACTGAACCATGCAAATGGCAGAGCACTAGAGAAAACAGTGAAATTATCCTGTTAGATTCCGGAAGTTGTCCTAGCCCCTTCTGCCCTTCCAGAAGCCTGGATGTTGGACATCTATGATTCCAAGAAGATGAGGTGCCCTTCCATGAGGAGCCCTCACACAAATTCTAGACATCACAAGGATGCCTATGACCAGGAACTGGTGGGGGAAGGAAACGGGAAGTGGGGGACAAAGGGGGCGGCATACCTGAGAGGAATCACATTTTCTCATTTCCTTCTCTTTCTTTGCTAGACGCTTCTTTTTCTTGTGAAGAGGTTTGGCCTCCAAAATCATTTCTTCAAGTTCAAAGGTGGGGTCGCAATTCAATCTGCCTTTCTATGGGGAAGAAACAGGTTGTCTAAGTCCTCAGATTCCAGTGTCATCCAAAATCCCATGGGATCTAATACGGAGATGTGGTGCGGTGGGTTAGTGCACTGGTCTACAAGGTCAGTTTGAGTTGCAAGGTCAGCTCCTGGGAAACCCTATACAGGGTCACTATGAGTCGGAACCTGCTCGACAGCACTTAACAACAATAACAATATGGAGAATAACACTTTGTCCTAATAGAACAGCCCAAGAATAATAAGCCTGGATCTCCACTCTTAAGTTTTATATAATTTAGTAACAGGCATGCTCTCATCATTCTCTGGTTTCATATTTCATTTTTCTGAACTTCTCATGAGCCCTCAGTGAATCAGGAAAGTAATCACATTATGATTCTTGAGTTTGGGGATTATAGTTCTCAAACCATGTACCAAGAATTGGACATGCAGAATAGAATCACCAGAACTGCTTGTTGTTCATTTAAACTTCCCAAATCAACACTTCTGAACACAAGGCCTAGGAATCTCAGTTTTAATAGGCTGCCTAGCTGACTTGGAGTCGAAATAAGTCAAAGAACCCTCTATAGGGCTTTTGCTATGGCACATGGATGGTGAATTGTGGTCCACACAGAAGAAGAAATGGAAGAAACAGTCCAGGGTGCCTAGAGAGATCTCTCTGAGTAGATCTCCTTGGTGTGTGGACCACTGAACAGGCTGCCCCTCCTGCATTCTGTGAAGTGGACAGCTAAGACCTGATCCCACCCTCCTGTTCCTTCACAAAGTGTGGCAGGGGGAACTTCTCACCCTAAGCCTTCGTTCCACACTATACTGCTGACTCCTCTTCCTCTCTTTATACTTTCATGGGGACCTTATCCCTCTGGAGTTTGTATGGGCTGTATGACACTCCCACAAGTCCATAGCAAGCACTTTGCTTGGACTTAATGACCAAATACTCTGCATTGTCTCTATGGAACCTTTTGGAGAGCATTATCATGTCCAATCTGCTTATATTTGAATGCAAAGCTAAGGCCCTAGGAAGAAAGAAAGAACTAGAGGCCTCAAGTGGCCCCATGGATTACAGTTCTGGACTCCAGCTTTTATTAGTAGGTCTCAGCTGCCTTTGACCAAGTGCTCATCTGTAATTATTTTCCTTTAGCTATTGGTCTTTATGGGAGTATGGTGATTTTGTAGGATTAAGCACTGGACTGCAAACCATAAGGTTGATGATTCGAGTCCACCAGATGCTCCTTACAAAGATAAGGCTTTCTGCTCCCACAGAGATTCAACCCCAGAAGCCCTACAAAGGGTTGCTATGAGTCAGAACTAACTCTATGGCATTTAATAACAACAACAACATTGGTCTTTATGAATATAGCTTCCGGGATAGAATTTCCAAAGGAAGAAGTTAGGGGTGGGGGGTGGGAAAGTTTGTACTGCACTCTTAATCCCAACAGCTTTCAATCCTTTGACTCATAGAATGCTACGGACACAACATTCTACGTTTTTGAAAACAGAGAAAACATTCTTTTTTAATCACCATATTCTTGGAAAAGACTATATTTGTAGGGCTTATTTCCAATAAAAATATGGCCAAAAAAAAAGTGGCTAGGAACTAGAATTCTAGATACAGACAGACTTAGATTAAAATTCCAGCCCAGTCACTTGACAGCTATGTGAACACTTTGGTGAGCAGTATACCCCATGTGTGCCTCAGTTTTCTCTTCTGGAAAACAGGAATTCTGTCTGTCTTCCAACATTAGTGCTGTTATCAAATGAGATAATGAATGTATCTGGCATGGATTATATACACTGAATAGCAGTTACTATGGGTTGATTAGAATCGACTTACATTAGGAATAAAACCAGGAATGAGCCTCTTCTGCAAAACAGCATCCCAGTTCATATCATTCATATACGGAGAGTTCTGCACATCAGACAAGTGAGAAAATCGTTGTTCTGGATTGGGTTCAAGTAGCTGCCAATGAAACAAAATGGGGAGATCAGGAAGAAAGTCAAAATTTAGGGGACAAAAAAAACAACAACATACAAATTTCCATTAATGTTTCCAATAAATAAGACTGAGGGAAACAACATTTCCCTCCCTCCATCAGGATTATGCACTGGGCAGCCAAGTTGGTTTGAACTGCAAGGTCGGTGATTCAAACCCACCAGCCATTTCCTCGGAGACCCTATACGTGGTCACTATGAGTTGGAACCTACTTGATAGCACTTAACAACAACAACATCCTCGTAAATAAATAGTGATGTAGATAATTAATTTATAAACAAATAATGTAGATAATACATGGTCAGAATGAACTGCAAGTAGGTTTTTGCAACCTGGTAAAAGAAAATAGTTTACTTATTAAGTCAAACATGTCTCTGATTCCTGACTCCCCTGCTTACTAGCTATGGAAAAGTTTGTTCTCAAAATCTTAGTTTACCCATTTGAATAAAAATAATAGCCTATTTCATAAGGTTGCAAACAGGATTAAATGAGGCCATGCAAAGTAAGACATAGGCCTAATAGATGGTTTGCATATAGTAGTTTTCAAATACTCATTTTCTCTTTTGTTGTGACATTGTAGTATCAACACTGGACTTCAAACAATAAGGTAGGCAGTTCAAACCCATCAGCTTCTCCTTGGAAGCCCTATATAGGGTCATTATGAGTCAGAATCAACTGGATAGCACTTAACAACAACAACATTACACTTTTAGAAGTTAAACTCAATTTCCTATTTGCACATTTGAATTACTTCTACAACTAATCAAAATCCATCAGAAATATGATACAGATAGGATGCAACTAAGGTCACTGCCATAGGTCTGGCTTTAACTAACCAGGAATAAAACAAATTTCTCCTTAAACATTCCAAAATCATATCAGTCTTTGGGCTCAGATGGGAAATGTCTGTTCCACTTGACAATGTTCTGAAGGTGGAAGTTATGGAATATCAGGGTATAATTTGAGGGAGAAGGGGCTCATTAACTTATGAAGAAATGATCCCACATGCCTAGTTGGTGCATATGGTTAATGTGCTTGGTTGCAAAAATAAAAAGCTGAAGGTTTCTGTCTACCCAGAGGCACTTCAGAAGAAAGACCTGGAATTCTACTTGGAAAGCTGCAGTCACTGAAAGCCTTCTAGAACATAGTTCTATTGTGAAACACATGCAGTCACTGTGAGTCAGTCTACTCATTAGCACCTGGTTTATTATTCCTCATCTTTGTCATCACCAATGCTATTATTGCCATTAAAAAGCAAAGAAGTTTACTCAAAGGACAACAGAAATAAGATTTTAATCTTTAGCCCCAAATTTCTTTTCCTTTATCGGTCACATAATCTTCTCTCTTAGGAAAAAGGCAGGTTCTAACTGTAAACTCAGAAAGATGCTTGTTTTTATCACTTCTCTTTGTCATGCAATCCTTCTCCTTACCTTTTTAAGAAATGACACCATTTCCTGTGACCAGGCAGAAGGGAAAGTCACAATAGCAGTCTCGAACATGTGTACAATTTCCTTGCTAGAAGTACTGGAGCGAATATGATATGGTCTCTTAAGGGTGAGAAGAAGTCAGATTTCACATTTTTGTAGGATAAAATAATAAAATTTTCATTTTAATATTCTCAAGACAAACATTTAATGAATAAAATATTCAAGTCAATTTCTAGCCCCTCCTACCTGTTTGTTGTGGTGCCACATATACATGTTGTACCATGTTGCCAGATCTCCTACATCTCGTTTTTAAACTAGTAGATATGTCATATCTACTGGAATAATGGGAATTCCGTAACACTGAATTTTGCTCATGATAAATTGTACCTAGACCTAAAGTGAATTTTTTTATATGAACAAGGGGATACTGAATGGTTTAAAATCTTTCTCACAATAAATAACACTATGGGAAAAGATTGAAGTTGTCAAGGATTTCCTTTTCCTTGAATCCACAATCAATGTTTATGGAGGTAGCTTTCAAGAAATCAAAATGTACATTGCAGTAGGCAAATCAGCTACAAAAGACCTCTGTAAAGTTTCAAAGCCACCAATCATCTGTCAGTTTTTCATAATGTGGTAGCTTGCATGTTGCTGGGATTCTGGAAGCTTTGCTTGTTGTTGTTGTTGTTAGGTGCCATTGAGTTGTACTGTCTCATAGTGACCTTATTCACACCAGAACGAAACACTGCCCGATCCTGGGCCAACGTTACTACTGTTACCATGCTTGAATCCGTTGATGATGCCACTTGGCCAATCCATCTCGTTGGGGGTCTGCCTCTTTGTCTCTGACCTCCACCTTACCAAACATGATATCCTTCTCCAGCGACTGGTCCCTCCTGATAATATTCCTGAAGTATGAGAGACGAAGTTTGGCTATCTTACTCTCTAAGGAGCACGTCTTCCAAAACAGACCTATTGATTCTTCTGGCAGCCCATAGCACTTTCAATATTCTCCTACAACACCATAACTCAAATGTATCAATTCTTCTATAGTCTTCCTTATTCACTGTCCAGCTTTCACATGCATATGTGGTTATTGAAAATACCATGGCTTAGGTCAGGCGTACCTTAGTCCT